TCTGGCCCAAAATTCTCAGGTGTTAATCTGCATAGGTATTTTTGTAATCCTCATGTTTCAGTGAAGAGTGTTGGCATGTCTCAGCTGATTCAAGTAGAAAAGGCTCCTTTGACAACTGGCCAGTTACCACAGTCACAGTGATGACAGATAAAAGAAAATGTCCCAATGGGTCCTTAAAGATGAGGGATCTGTGGCTGGGCAGCAGGGCTCAGTGTGACCACCTCCAGCAGTGTGACCATGGGAGGGAGACCTTTTATTTTCTCATCTGTGAAGTGTGAATGAAAATACTCCTCCTCAGGCCATAAAGAAAATTAGATGAAGTACACAGGGAAGAGCAACCCTTGTTTCATCCTGGTCACACAGAAAAAGGAACCAGTTTAGGTAACACACTCAGATGCACATACACTCAGACCTACAGCCCACACAGCTTGCCACACACACACACACACACACACACACACACACACACACACACACACACACCCGGGACAGAGATGATACATTAGTTTCCCTAAGTTGCTGGAGGATGATTCCTGGACTAACAGAATTGTGGAGAACAAGGAAAAAGGTTTGCTGAAATTTGAAGGTCCCACTCCAATCTGACCAGGAGACTAACTAGCACATATGTATGGAACAGGATTAAGATGTCTTTTGAAAAACCCCTCATTATTTTCAGGGCAGTTTTTTAATGTCTCAAAAGCGCCTTAAGCTTAGTGAGTCCCAGTTGGAAACTTCCACAGCTCTGAATAATGCTCAAGGTCTAACCAAGAACACTTTCATTGCATGGTTTCAGAAAATGAATGGCTCACAATGGCTGAAGGCCAAGCATAAGTTAGTATCAAAACTAAAAAATTGCTGTGGCAGTGACAACAGTCTATATAGCCTGAAGCAACTGCAGACAAGGCAAATGATCCCGAGACCTTGGGAGTGTATTACATATGTGTGACATGTAGCATAAGAAAAGGAGGACACTGGAAATCACTCTTCAGGGCAGGGCCCATGCCCAACAGTAAATGGCCAACACAAAACAAACTCAACAGCATCTCTATAAGTTCTTAGTCTCACATGTTGTGTCTGAGCTTTTTGTTTTTTTGTTTTTTAACCTTACAGATCCTCCGGGTATACGACATGGCTTCTGGTTTTATGTTTTTAAGGGATTCCTGTGTGTGCAAATGTGTGTGTCTCTACGTTTGTGTTCTCATGCTTTTTCTTTGTTTTTTTTTTTTTTCTTCTGTTAGTTTATCTTGCTCTACTCCAATTGGGTTTTGTTTTATCGTATTTTTGTCTTATTATTCCTTACATGTCTGTTTGTATCCTAACTAGAGATGGAAAGGTTGTGGATCTAGATGCAAGGGGAGGTGGGGAGGAACTAGGAGAAGTTTGGGGAGGGAAAACCATAATCAGAATAGATTGTGTGGTAGAAAAATCCATTTTTAATTTTAAAAAGGAAAGGAAGTTATTCCTCCATGGGGGATGTGTTTGCAAGGTCCTTTTGTGCTCCAGGGATACATCCTGGCTCCACTGTCTGAGGTCCCTTAGACTGCTCAGTCCGTCTGGCTGAGACCCATATTCAGGGGGACCTGAGTTAGTCCCATGCTGGCTTCCCAGCTATCAAGTCTGGTGGCCGTTAGTTCCTCCTTGTTCAGGTAAGCTGTCTCTACGTGCTTCTGCCGCATGGTCTTGTCCTGTCCATCTGCATCTGGGTTCTACTTCCACTCAGTGTTTATGTATGGGTGTTTGCTCCTGTTTCCAACAGATATTAGTTGAGGGCTCCATGGATAAATTAGTTGTTGATCTCACTCTCCAGGAAGGGCATTTATGGTAGCCTTTCCACTGTTGCTCAAATTGTTATTTGTAGTTCTCTAGACCTTTCTTTGTGTTCAATTTTATCTTCCCTCTTTTATGCTCTCTCTCTCTCTCTCTCTCTCTCTCTCTCTCTCTCTCTCTCTCTCTCTCTCTCTCTCTCTCCTGTCTTCTATTCCTAACTGAGCTCAATTTCCTGGTTGCACGTGTTTTCCTTTCCTCCTCCTCATTAATCTAGAGAAAGGAGAGAAGCCCTAGTCCCTACTTCATAGGACCTGTCAGATCTACATGACCCCAACTTGATGGCATTCCCCTACATATGGAATTGGGGTGGGGGGATGTGAGGGGAGGGTGGTTAGAGTGCATGTGAGAGGGCAGATAGGGTAAAAGGGAGTGAAGGAGGGAGGGAGGGAGGGAGGGAGGGAGGGAAAGAGAAAAGGAGGGAGGGAGGGAGGGAAAGGGAACTGGGATCGACATGTAAAATAATAAATTAAATAAAAAATGCTTGGACTCCAAAATTTAAGTTGAAGGACAAGTTACTGGGGAAAGGATTTCTATTTTTGTTTCCACAGAAAATGAAAAGGGTGTGGATTCCTTCCAGACTAATGTGGTTTGATCACGCCAGACCGCCTGAAACAGAGTACTAGGTGATTCTACATTCAAAACAGCTGGACAAAGCAGCCTTACGGACCTCAGCCAGGATTTCTGCATCTTCTTAGAATCCCCCATGACAGTGCCCCTTACCAGCAGGAAGTAGTTTGGAAAGAACGACGCCCAAATTCCCAAATATTTTCTATAAATGTTTGTTTTCATTGAAATGGACTTGGTTATATTAAATAAATAAATAAATAAATATACATATACGTATACGTATATGTATATGAATGAAAGGAAAAGGAAGATTTCAGGGCAGGAAAGAGGAAGAACTTAGGATAACAGATGAAGCTGTTAGGATACTGAGCCACAGCAGCAAGGTGATTTGAGAGGGAATAAAATGAAGTAATAAGTAGTGTAAGATAATAAGCATTGGTGAAATTAAGTGGGAATGGGAGGGGCAAGCAATGCTATTATTGTTTCACTGGAGCTTGGACAACTGTCAATACAAGAACCAGTGAGGTACCCAAAGTCAGAAAGGAGGAAAATTAAGTGTCCTAATGTGAACATGCCATCTTTTCTAGAGGCAGGTGGGTGGCCATTATTAATAGAACCAAGCAAAAATACGCTAATCAGAATATAACTGTTCCCAGACAACATGAAACCAGTACAGTAGAGCATAGTCGGCCATGAGGTGAGGACTCTGTGTGAACAGAACACACCACATATCTGAGAGTATTGGGAATAAGGCCCTAGGTTCCACACTCAATTAAACACACCAAAATAATACATAGTAGCATGGCAGGTGAAGGATGGGTGTCTGATGTTGTAGCTGGTTTTTCTTCCTTAAGCAACAAGTTCTTGCACCACTGTTAGCACTGACTGTTTTCCTCCTTTATCTTCAACAAGCAGAGCATCCAAATGAAATACACATAAACACACATGTTCGCACACACACATACATCCACTATACCGCATTCACACACATACACAGCAATTTAAAAAGGTAACTGTGAAGGATCTTAGGGGTTAAGAAACCTTGTTGGGTTTTTGTTTTGTTTGTTTGTTTTGTTTTGTTTTACTTTAAGAAAGTATGGACAGCGAAGCATTCACAGGTAATTATTTCCTAGTTGAATTATTCCAACTATAGCCAAACAGAAATTAATGTTCATCTTGATAATGCACACTTATGTAAATTAGTTATATGAGTCTAAAAACGAATATCCTGCTAAGATCACATCATCACAAATAAATCACCTACCACATTTACACCCACATAACAGCAGAACCTGACAAACAGACCACACAAAAATGGCATAGCTAATTTGTAAATGAGCACTTACTAACAGCTTATGCCTGCTATAGAAAGGTGACGATGTGACAACTCCATGAAAAGCAGACAAAGACACCAATGTCTCTGCTAAACAAGTGGCGAGTCCTAACAGTCACAGGTGCAGCTGTGTCAAAGTGTGCACCACAGGGCTCTGCGGTTAGAACGCTGCTCATAGTTCTTCCTTCTCAGCTTCCGGTTAAATTCTGACCTCTTTTCTAACTTTGAAAAGACTTTAATGTTTACTTGCTAGATGTCCTGGATTTGGGTATTCCTTATCATTGATACAAAGAGGTCTTTGTTTGCTTGTTTTGTTTTCCTGCTCTCATACATAAATCACTCCTTTTCGATGTGTTCCTTTCTTTTCCTAATGGCTTCTTAAGACAACTGCAACGTGCTTGATGTGATACCTGGAAGGGGTAGGAACTAGATACAAGCAGGAGAAAGGTGACTGGCCAAGGTGATCCCGGCTGAGGATGGAAATTGGGCACATGGCAATTGGTGGGAGCTCCATTTGAAATTTTCCAAATGTTTTTCCTAAATAAAACCTCCCTATAGTCCTGTTGTGTGCCTTGCTTCCATAATGCTCTCATGAAGGGACAAAATTAAGAAGAAATTTTTCCCCGGGCCAATTACAGTTTAAACAATTCATGAACATAAAAGGATGCTGTATAACATATGGACAGTGTCTTCAAGAGGGCCTCACAGGTGAGGAGTCAATGGCTTGTCCAGTTCTTGAATCAATACTGAACAACAAAGGATTGCCACAGTTGCCGAGATATATAGCTGTTTGCGCCAGCCATCAGTCAGAATGAAGATTCGTTCATTATCTAGTGGAGTGACAGGAACGTATGCCTGTGGTTCTCAAACAGATTTCACCAAAGGGTTTTGGTAGCCACGAATTTAAGTCAATTCAAAATTATACTTCAAGGACTGATGTTGCAACTTAGTGGTCCTGAGCACAACAAAATAGACAGACAGACAGACAGACAGACAGACAGACAGACAGACAGACAGACAGACAGACAGATGAAACTAGTGGAGATCCAGCTGTAATTCTGGTAACTAAGAAGAAAGAGGTCATGGGCTAGAGTTTAGTTATATATTTACTGGTCCATGCAGCCACACATAACAGCTAATGTCTCTGGGACATGCTCCTTCATCTTCAAGTGACTGAACTGTATGTTTCACCTACCCACATCTAACAGACCTTTCGATTTTTATGACTGCGAAAGCATTGTAAGGTGCCATCCACCAATGAAGTTAGTCTTACCAGAATTACAGCTGGATCTCCACTAGTTTCAACTTCCGTGGATGCCTTGCATTCCTGTACAAGGTTTTCACTCTGCCTCCCTTTTGTTTCCCACGAAGAGACCTAAAATGGCAACAAAAATTATGCAAGGATTAGAAGCAATCAGTGGTATACATTAAGCTACTTTATTTTATAGAGAATATATCAACTGCAGAGTAATTCAGGGAAAAGTCAACTGATCCTTGTCCTCCAGAAATATATGATTGGCCAGGTAGGAATGGAAACACACACCTACAAACCCAGCACCTAGAAGGCAGAGGCAAGAGGATCACTAACCAAGGACAATCCATACAAATAGACCATGCAAAAAGGGCAACCAGAAATGGAAAGAAAGTACATGTAAAGTTCAAGTAAATACATGTAAAGTTCAACTAACAGCACAGCAATTTTACTAAAAAAAAAAAAAAAAAAAAAAAAAAAAAGTATCTTTGTTTTAAATACTCATAAAGAATTAATGATCTCCTGATTTGTCTACCCCATGTTTGATTTACATAAATATATCTTCCAAATCAAAACTAACTTAAGTTTTCAAGAGCTGACAGTCATCCTGCCTCCATTTGATGATTCTCCATCTGCCAATGGGTCCCAACCTGGCTCCCGCCATCTTCACCTCCAGCAGCAGCAGCAGCAGCAGCAGCAGCAGCAGCAGCAGCAGCAAGTCTTCCTCATATCATCCCTACTGCCTCTAAGTCTGCTTAAGTCAAAGAACATTTTTCAGACCTATGGAATTTAGCTTTCTTGCCTGGCTCTTTTTGAATCTCCTTATTTCCTGCTTGGTGATGAAACACCTTCCTAGTTTCTCTTCATAGACTAGCAAGTCCTTCACAGTCTGTGAAGTCACCTTCCCAGCCCTAACTGTCCGCCTGCTTCTCATGTACCCTTCACTGCAGCTCACACCCAAATGTATCAGCACTTCACAAGCCCATGTGTCCTGTTTACATCTTAGTTACATATGCGACTCCTGCTCTTGGAAACCTCACATTTTAAGCTGAACCCATGTTCCTCTCCACAGGCCATTTGCTCTCTGACGCTTCCTATTTCAGTGGATGTCACCACTTACGTAGCTCAAAACTCAGCTGCCATTCTTGTCATCTCTCTACTCATTCAGTACCCCCAATGTATCATCAGGATGTGACCACCTCTACTACCATCATTCCAGGCCACACTCCAATGCTTTCTCCTCTGGAGCAGCCTGTGAACCGCTTGGCTTGCACCAACTCCATGAAGCATAATCATGGAACAGAATCCATGCACCATTTATCAGTCCCAGACAAGGATTTCTGCCCAATCCACCCTGGTATTGATATTGGTACAGAATGTAGGCAAACCACTGGGTAGAGCACTGCTTCACCTACACAAAGAAGAGACCTAGCCTCAGTGCTGTGCATGCCTCCCCCAAGGCAGTGTGTGTCTCCAAGAGCCAATGCAGGGAAACTAAGTGCAAGGCTTTCATTTCATTTGGCAGAAGAGTCACACGTCTTCCCAGAGGTCAGACTGAGCAGTGGAGTTAATCAGATGCTATGTGACATGAGGCATGCATTATAAGCAAAACAAAGCAGTGCTTCTCCCACTTGGGAGATGAACCCTGCACCTGTCTGGCTCTATGGGCTTCCCATCTCTTGAGAAGGAAGTGTCCCCGGCCCACGGATCAATTTTATTTTATTTTTTTGTGTGTGGCCAAAACAATAATACAATCCAAGACTTCTCTATCCAACTCTATACTAATTGCTTATCTATACTAGGCCAGACTATCCCTTTCTAAAAGAAAGTCTGGACATACAACTCTTCCATGTAAAAAAAAAAAAAAAAACTCTAGTGGGTCTTTGCTGCTTTTAGGACAGTGTGACCTTTACTAAAGGCTGCAGGGCTTAACATGGTTATGAGTCTTATAGAAGTCACACTCCTGCTCCCTTCCATTGCTTGTCCCCTTAAAATTCTTTATATTCATCTGTGGGTCAAATGTTCTGCCTCTCTTGTTATCAATTTAATTGAATGTAATCCTAAAAACAAAGACAGCCCCCCCACCAGAATGACATCTTTGTTATACTTAGTTAAATTCCTCACTGTAAGAACTGGTGCTCTTGGGTCACAAACAGCTGCCATAACAGAGGTTGCAGAGAAGGCTGGGCAGTTAGGAATCCTTGCAGCTCATGCCCAGCACCAGAGTTTGGTTCCCAGAACACATATCCAGTGGCTCACAGTTGTCCATAACACCACTTCCAGGGTATCTGACATCCCCTTGTAGCTTCTGTAGGTACCCACCCACACATGGTATACATCTACACAGACAAATACTCATACAGGTGAGTAGAAGTACAAATAAACTCTTTAAAATTCTACAAACAACATGCTAGGCAGAGTAGTGTCTGAACCTAGTTCCAGCTACTCTGGAGGCTGAAGAGGGAAACCTGGGAAACACAGTAAAACTGTCCCAAAACAACAGGGGCAAAAAACATAAGCAGCCGCCACAGTCACATTTGTCTGTCAAAGCATTACACTGCTCTATAGGAAGCTGGATGAAGGAGGAGCCACATGTGCACTTTGTTGGAAGGTCCACAATGAGATTACACAGAATAAACACATATGCATATATATGTGCACTATATAAAGCTACAGAAGTGTCTGCAAACACACAAGCAGTACGTAAATACATTCACTTCATATTAGCTTTACACACATGGACATTTACATTAATCTCTTTTATTTAAGATATAAAATATGTGGATTTAATACCACAAATGTAAGCTCTCTTATATACCATCCAGGCATTCGTTGGGGCACCATCACTTGGCTGAACTCAACTCTACACAGTGTGCTGACATTAGCAACCTAACTTTTCTTCCAAAATAGAGAATCCAGGGGGAAAAAAAAATTTGGACTCTCTCCAGCAAACACAGGTTGCAATGTACATCCCATAATTAGAGTGAGCTAAAAATGTGGAAATGAAGAAAAAAAAACCTTTATCAGATGCTATTTCCAGAACAAGGAAATTATTAAACATTTTCTGAGTAAGAGAAAAGAAAGGGGGAAAAGAAAGAGAAAGAAACGCCTGCCTGGGATGCCTCCCCGGACTTGAGGTTTTCCAACAGAGCTGGCGCATGGCTCCGCGGCTGGTGCTGCATTTTCTTCTTCACGGTCCTCTTCAGAACCTTAGTCATACACACAAACTCCACATCAGAGTCGCCATCCTCTGTGCTTCTCTTCTGGCCTCTTTGGCTGGACGAAAGCTCGCCAGATGAAGGAGGAGTGCCTTGAAAAAGTTCTACCACCGAAGGGCCCATTCTCCCAGGTTTGGATTTTTCCTTAATTAAAAACAAGAAGATATGGTTTCATGAGACGGAGTTGTATTATTTATGATGGGTTACCATTTTCTCTCATAACAGTGAATTATAATTCTATATAATATAATGTAGTTTGATTATATTCACCCCCCCTATTTATGCCCTCCAATTTCTCCCAGATTTGCCAGTACATGCTATTCGCCAGTACAAGCTACAGTTGTCTGAATGAGAATTGTCCACATAGGTTTCAAAAGCACACAGCATTCTAGTTAGCATGATTTTTACGCTCTCATCTCTTTCTCCCCCTCTCCTTGAGAATGAGAGATAAGTCCTCAGTTACTGTCTCAGCCATGCCTCCCTGCCTGTTACAATGCTCCCTGTGATGAGAGCCATGAATCCTCTGCAGCTGTGAACCCATAAATTAAGCTCTTTCTTTTCCAAGTTGGAAAAGCAGAAGAACTGTAACTAAGGCACACCCCCTTTTCCAATTTCATGCTCTGTTTGTCCCTAAATCCACTGAGTCCCACTAATGCTGCCTATATGCACTGGGGGTGGCACTATCCACCGAACACATCCACATCTCTGAAGAAAATTACTCTCCTTCCCCTAATAGCCATCTGCTGCTACTAGACCCAGAGACTGATAGTGGGTTCAGGCTTCAAACTGAAGATCAGAAAAGCAAAGCAGCAGGCCACTAGCTCTTACCTCTACCTCACATTGAAAGGCGATCCTGGCTCCACCAAACCTCGCACTGCAATCCAAGACTACTATGCTCTCCTTAATGTGGCTGGAGAACCCTAAGACTGAACCAGCTCTGAGACCTTGCTCCTGTTTTATATACCTGCCTAATGCTAGGATTAAAGGCATGTGATCCCAGGTGCTTGGATCAAAGGCATGAGCTGTTAGTCTTCACTCTTGTGTAGGCCAAAGTAGCCTTGAACTAAGAGAGATCCATCTACCTCTTAATCCTGACTCCTGGAATTAAAGGTGTGTACCACTGCTGCCTGATCTTTTTAGCTTGAGGCTGCCTTTGCTTTCTGAATCCTCAGGCAAGCTTTAATGTCACTACACATCTATGTCTACTAAGCCTTATCAGCAGTTGGGGGAGGGGGGAGAAGGCAAGCAGGAAGGCCTGAGTTTGCATCTGCTACAGTCAGACGCAGTGCTGGAGAGGCGGGAACAGGAAGATACTTAGGCTTGCTGACCAGATACTTAGCCAAATTAGTAAACTCCAAGTTTAGTGAGATGCCATGTCTCACATAATAAGGTAGGAGTGGTTTATCAAGAAGCATGATGTAGACTTCTGAACCCATGTACATGCATGCACAACTACACATACACACACACATATATATACATGCACACATACATGAAACAGAAATAATTGAAACGTAGTTTCCTACGTGTGTGTCGACTGTAGCTGAGGAGCACAACTATTCCTTTTTAAAGATGCTGGAATGATTCAAATGTCCTCTACATTTAATTTTATGTTATTGTAGTGTGTATGTAAAGAGAGAGACATGCACTGGCAGGCTGCAAGTTGGTGGACTAGGCTAGTCTTCTGAACTTATGGCAATCCTCCTGAACTATGGCAATTCTCCTGCCTCTGGCCTCTTAATATTGATATTACAGGTGTGAGTTACCATGTGGGACCATAAATGTTAAATCTTAGATAGTGGAAAATTGAGAAATAAAACATTATATGCCATGTAGCAAACTTACCAAACAAGAACGTTCTTGCTGTGCAAAGACAAATACTTTAAAAACTTGGGTGTACCCTCCCTGTGGAGTAGGGGGTGGGGTGGGGATGGGAGGGTGGTTGGGGGGCATGGGAGAGAGGGAGATAGGAAGGGAAAAGGAACTGGGATCGATATATAAAATAAGAAAAGTAAATAAATGTTGGATACAATGATACACACTCATGCAAGCATGCCTGAACACACATGTACAAACACACATGTACACCTATACATGTGCACACAAATACATACTCAAGAATTATGTATACAGCCTATTCCTAGGTAACTATATCTTGTCTTTCTCATAGAACCCATGAAAAAATATTTTTAAAAAATTGGAATTGTCATCGTATCCAACCATTAAGATAATGGGTGATTTATATATTATTTATGTTTTATTTCCTAAGTTTTTGGTAATGTATCAGTCTAGTGAGAAAATAGTGCCAGGTAAAAAACATAGTGCTTCATTCTGTGACTCAGGAAGCTTATATGAGAACTGTGACACAGGTGGCTGGATACTACTTTATGTATTTATTTAAAAACTTTTGATTTTTTAAATTTTTGTTTTTATTTTATGTGCATGTATGTTTTGCCTGCTTGTTGTACATCACATGCATGCAATTCCAACAGAGGCCAGAAGAGGGTACCAGATCCCCGAAGACTGGGGTTACAGAAGACTATGAACCGCTAAGTGAGTGCTGGGAATTGAACCTGGATCCTCTGGAAGAGCGGCCAGTGCTCTCAACAGCTAAGCCATTTCTCTGGATCCTGGCTCCTATTTTAATTACTCACCTTGGCTGCTGAAGAAAGGCCAGAGGACTTGAACTCTGGGATTCTACTCAATGTTATAAGCTGAGGCTTCTGTGGGAAGAAAATATCAATTAGCAATTTCAGTAGGCATATTACAGAATTTCAGCATTCTTCTATTCCTAAAGAAGTGTCTAGATCACATTTCTTACCCATAAACCTTCAGTCCTGCAGCAAGGGTGTTCTTACAATGGTATCCAGGTAGTGTAAAGACATCTGATACTTGATAAAGTGTGCCACTTAATCAAACCCTGTCCATGTCCAGCCTCTGAATCCCATCATCTCCTGCCTCTTCCTCTCTGGAGATCCCCGCTCTCTGCCTGCAGAGCTCAGGGGCATCCTGTCCCAGGGCATCCTTCTGTCTTGCTGGAGCACTAGGCTGAGATTCAGTGAACTGGAAAGGGTAGAGTGCCTTTTACTATGCCTCTCATCCCTGAGATGGCCTTATGCCCAGCAACCAAAAGTTTCCTGTATCCCTGAAGGGATTAAACCTTCCCACTTTTTATACCCGGTTTTAAGTTCCAGTTCTCTGAGGAGGACACACAGGTGTCTTTTCCAACACAGGGCCATGTACTTACAAGGCCCTTACATTCAGGGTTGAGGGAGAAAACAGAGGGCCTAAGTCAGTCTCACAGTGTCTCAAGGATAAACTCAGTAACTCCCTTCTGGGTCATGCCCAAGCTTATATAGACGCGTCCAAAAATGATAAGACTAAACCTCAGCCAATTAGGAATACACTAATGTAAGTGATGCTTGCTAGTCCAATTAAATTTGAGATGACCCAATTGCTCCTGAAACTCTCCTTAGCTGTGATGAACCTCTCGGGGTTCATCAGAACAACCCCACATGCATGTGGTATGATAAACGCTCTTGTTCTTACATACTATTTGAGTCTGGGGTCTTCCTTCAGTGTTTCCTCTGACCCTACATCCCCAGGAAAGCTATGGAAAAGGGGGGTGCTCTATGAAAAGGGAGCTCCTTTGAGAGTAATACTTTGGTTGTTGCTTTTAGCTACTGTTTTTGTTGTTGCTGTTGCTTTGTTCTGAGACTGGGTCCCACCATGTAGGTCTGACTGCCTGGCCTGCGACTCACTGTCCTGGGATTCAGATAGACCTGGGCGGGTACTTTCGAGACCACCCTTCCAAATCCGAATCTGTTATGTTCACAGCACCTCCTCCTGGGATCTCTCTTGATTGGCACAGACACCCAGGTTAGAGGCTGTTTCTGAGCATTCCTGGCTCATGAGCCCTCCCTACTCCCCATTAGTGATCAAACTATGTGAGTTCCCCCACTTGAATCTTCAGTAAATTCAAAATACATTAGATCAAAGTCACCACCTGCTTTAGAGGCACTAAAATGCAGAAGAGGTGAGATGGCTCAATGGGTGATGGTGTGTCATCTAGACCTGTGACCCGAGTTCTCCTGTACTCATGTAGTAGAAGAGAGCCAACCACACTAAGGCATTCTTCTTCCAACAAAAATAAACAAATAGGTGTAATAAGGAATAAAATATATAATACTGGTGAAATGGCTTGGTGTATAAAACTGCTTGCCAAGAAAGTCTGATGAGCAGTGTTAGATCCCAGGACCCATGTATAGGTAAGGAGAAACAAAGTTGTCCTCTACTGCCAAAACATGCCATGGCATTCACATACATACACACGTTAAATAAAATTAAACTAAAATACAAGTAAAGATGAGAAGGGAGAATGAGGAAAAGCATATTAATAAAACGTGCATACTTGATGTTAGAATCCTGGAAATAGCGTCACATCCTTGCACATGGAATTCTAACTTAACTCTCAGGGGTGGGGACTGGCAGTGTCATTTTAGTGCCTTCAAGTGGTTCTGATATGCAGTCAGGATGGAGAGCCACTACCCTTGAAGGTGGAGGCATTGCTGAGCCTCTGGTGTCTGACCCAGCATATGGACTTTCAAATCAGATTGAGTAAGTGCAAACTCACCACAGTCACGTGGCTTATGATGTCTCCTAATGTCTACCTTGACCACTTCCCATTCCTCTGACACCCTCTTGCCTTTGTGCACTCAGCGTGCCTCCTGCTTACATGGCCCCCATTTTGTATTACTGTACCATGACATAAGCTATGTCTTTGGCCTGGATGGTCCTGGTCAGTCTTGTCTTTCCACTAAATCCCTCTCATCCTTCAAGTCTCAGTTCAGAAAGCACCCATCCCAACTGCTAAATCCAGGTCTCTAAGGAACAACCAATCGCTGCTTTTCGCTTCACACAACGCTGCAGATAATGGATTCTTACTTTTTAGTATGTCTTGTTTTAAAGCTACAAAATAAAAAGTGCTGCATTGGTTAATTTTATAAAAATACATAGTCATGAGTTAGGTTTTCCAAGGTTGCTCTTGGCCAGGGTGCCTCCATAGGAAAAGTAGAGTAGAAGGTGAGACTCCAGCAAGTTCTTCACAGGCAAAGCCTCTTTTCTTGTAGTTAATCGTAACTTCTTAAGTTCTTCCGCAAGCATCCCAGGTATCTTACTTTCATGAACTGGCATTTGTCCAGCAGGGTCTCACATGCCTTTTCACCACTGGAAACAATGGCTACCACTGCCTTTCCATCCCCACCTTCGCCCTTCTCTGCAACTGCATCTATGCTGATCCTTCTGTCCTGGTCTTGCTGGAGTCTCCAACTGCTTTCTCTTTCTTCCCTTGAAGCTCCTGTTTCATCTTGACTCCTCAAAGCAACCCTGAGAAATATCTGGAAGATGTCTCCTAGCTGAAATGAAGCCTACATCTTTGTCCTCTGTGCACCTTGTTCTTATAGGACCTCCAGAAAAACGGGGGAAACGGTGTGTATTTAAAGCCACATTCATACCCAAAGTCCCCCACCACACCATCTATCTACATGGTGTACCACACTGTCTTACAGTTACACATCAATGATGCAGTGCAGAAGACTGGACTTCACACTTGTTTATGTTATATGCGGCACAGAGCACTATGCTTCAGGTGTTACAGATGTTCAGTAAACGGTTACCCATTGTAGGTTAAACCGATGGCCCTAAAGTGCACTGCATATCTTTCCATGGTTGTCTACTCTGAATTCACAGCTTGACAGATTCTGTCATCCATGCTGGATATCGTTTCACCATGCAGGTGTTTTCCATGGTGCCATGTACGTTCATTTCCAGCAAGTGTTTGCAACCCTTTATAATGAAACTGATTCCTGATAAGGCGAAATGGACCAAGTCTAGCCTGGCTATAATATACGACTCAATTACGTTACTTGAGTTTACAACATTTTAAAGAATAACTTAAGGATAATTATTCTTTGCTATACAGTTTTACTGTAATGGGACTGGACCTGAATTACTAACCATATCGCTAAACAAGAATTGTGAGTCAATGGACACTTTGAGTCCTATAAATTCTGCTCTTTCGTTTTGCCTTCAGAGCCATTTCTACAAAGGGACAAGAGACACAGAAAAGCAAGAAAAGCACAGCAGAACTTCTCATTGCATTTTGAATTTAAAAAGTATTAATAATTATGGTCAAACAGAACATTTCCAAGCCATCAGGAAGCCAACAGAAGATACGGTACTGGCTTCAAGGGACAGAACGAAGAAGGCAAAAGACTGGGAGCACAGAGGAGAGGAGTGGCTGGAGTGAATGCTCCCTCCCACCCTTCTGCACCCAGCAGGCTTGAACAAAGTTGCCTGTTACATCAGGTCTTTCAGTAGAGATGCTGGCTGACACAGCCTTGGGAATCTGGAGTTGCCACTCACCGGCCTTCTACTCACTTCATCCTTGAATCTTCGTCACCGAGTTTTACTTTCTAATTCCAGGGATGGCTTAACTTGAGCATTTTGCCCTAAGTCAATTCATTCCTTACAAAATATGGAGCTGTGAAATTCTTTACTCTGCCTTACAGTTCATAGCTCTAACGGTGTCAGAGGCATCTCTGATGCTGGGGCTATCAGTTAAAACTACTTTCACCTCCTCTCTCCGCCTCTCTCATACTCATCGACTCTCCTTCCTTCCCAAATTCTGCCAAGGAAGTCTGTCCTCTGGGCTGTGCTCTGCCCCACCCCATCTGATGGTCCTTAGCCCTGGGCCCTCAGGTCATTCATGATTCTCCTAAGGGTCACTACTAACTCTGAATTCCTAAATTTCCCTTTCCAAATGAGGGTTTATTCTCTCAGCTGAAAACAGGGAAGCAGAACATTTCAACAGCTCAGAAATTTCAGACCCCTAAGAGTATCGACTTTATACCACAAGAGCATACATGACTCTCAGCCTAGAGTTAGTCCTCTCATTTGTCCCTGTAACACCAATAATAAAAACTCAGAGACAGATACGGGGTTCAAGCAGCCGGCCACTAACTCTCACCTCTAACTGATACTAAAATGGGCGATCCTGTCTCCATGAATCCTCAGAGTGCAAGGCAGACTGCATGCTCCCCACCAAGCCTCAGGCAGGAACCCCCTGAGTTCCTGTCTCCTCCTCCTTATATTCCTCTCTCTGCCCAGCCATATCACTCCTGCTCCACCTCCCTAGTGCTGGGATTAAAGACATATGATCCCAAGAACGGAGGTCTCCTTTGTGTGAGCTATTTCTCTTTTAGACTGGATCAATGTTCTAGCTCTGCGTGGCAGTGAACTACCAGAAATCCATCCACTCTGTCTCCTGAGTCCTGGGATTAAAGGTGTGGCCACCACCACTGTCTGGCTCTATGGCTGTGGCTTTATTACATCATAAACAATATCTCACCACATGTCCCTATTTGAACAAGTGTCTGCCCATCACTGTCATCAGATGTCCCCAAATCCTGTTTAGAGCAGATGAAATTAAGGTCATTAGGGTATATGAAGGCCCATAACTGCTCTTCCCTGACTTGGGAAAACACACAGCTCCTCATACTCTGACTTACAGCCTCATCCTAGTCCTCACTTTCTTCCTTCTGTCCCCTGGCTTCTCCCTCCATCTGCCAGACCCTACACCTCTCTTGTGTGCTAAGCATCTTCAATTTCACTGATTTTAAAAATAGTTCAGAAACACTGTCAAATCACTCCCAGCCATGAATTT